CAGTAGTGTGCGGCCGCTTTTGAGCGAGGCTTTCGAAGAGGAGGACACAACCATGCTTGTGATTGTGAATGTTTTTGAAAAAAGGAGGAGGAGATCATCGGGAAGGCGTTTCATAGTTTTGGACAATAAACCCGGAAAGTGAAGGATAAGAAGTAGGTAGCCAGGAACCGAGAGGATGATTTTATACCCCACTAGCATTGTTCCACACCGGCATGAAGAAGCCGCCAAAAGCGGTTGTATGCTGAATAGTGATGTAGCATTTGACCACTGTTATCGGCGTAATGCGACGGCGAAGCAGACAGCACATGCGTTCTTCTCGTGACTTTTTTTTTCGATCTCCGGCGCACACTTCTCATGCGCTTTTCGCGTTCGCTTTTTCGGAGAAAGAGCAGCACACATAGGTGATGCTGCAAGTGTTTTGGAAGATGGTACCGTGGTGTAAAGTACAGAAGGATTACTCGATCTCGACCGCATTTTATACTCCAGCAGCAGGCGCGCAGCCACATGAGTGAAGTGGTTCTTTCTTTCGGGGTTCATCGCGAGATGAGAAGTTGAACCAGAAGAAGCAGCATCCGTTATCGTTTCGTGTGTTTTGGACCGGGGCGGAGGAGGAAACACATCGAATGGTTCGTCGATTCTTTTTTGACTGCCCCCATCATAATGTTCGTTCTGTTTTTGAGAGAGACGCAGGCACAAACTCGATAGTCATGGTTCTCTTCAATTTTGGTTTCCGAAAGGTCTTTTCGTGGGATGTAGGTGGAAGGAAGAGAGGTCGAGTTGAGTCGTAGGCTTCATATGTCCAGTGTCCGTAGCATGCATACGTGCTGTGATGTTTTGAGGCCGCGGCGCACAAGCTCCGCGAACATGTACTCATCGGTTGATGCTTTTAGAAAGGAGGAAAAACAAGGCCCTTCCCATGTGAACATAGACTGTCATTTTCCAGAGACCGGAAGCACATCCGAGAGTACTGCAACCGTTTCTGGCGACTCGCACATGCAACATCGTCGTCAGCTTTTTTTCGAGACAGGAAGGCCGAAACCATGATCAAGGACGTCGTTTATTTTTGCGAAGAAATTCTTGGAAGTCGGTTGAGGAGGCAGGAAGGCGATGGCTCAGTAGAGGCTTTTATATTTCGGGAGCGCGTCGTAGGTTGAGATGACGAGACTGCTGCGAGGTCATGTTTCTTTCCGGACTGGATTTTGAGAGAAGCCAGGCGGAGACGACGCCATGACCATTTCTGGCGATTGTTTTTGGTATTGGCAGACGAAGGAGGGAACATTTAGCATTGAGAGAAGGATTTTTGGTGACTCGCACATACAGTGGCGGCTTTTGTTTTTTTTGGAAAGGGAGGCAGGCGCCATCATCCACTCATATTCTGTTTTTGGAAAAAAAGAATTTGAATGTGGAAGTTTGAATGAACAGAAGAGAAGACGCCAAAGGGCAGTTTTTATACTCAGAATCTGCCTGTGCGTATCCAGTCGGCACGTGTTCAACGGCATATCCATCTACAAATGATGACCTAGCGTATTCAAACAGCTCCGTACCATACCACTTTCCACCCACACCACCCGATAAGAAAGCCCACATATGACCTAATCCAACATTCTCCTCTCCACCCGCCCAATCCTAGGAGGCGTCTCATCCATCCTCGCGCCCCGCTGATCTTCTTCTCCATAGCGCGCATTGACATTCTCCTCTTCCCTCCGCATCAACGACCTATCCCCATCGTTCTCTTGGTCGCGCTGCTCTGGAGGTATGCGCCTATGCGTACGGGCCCGAATGAGCGGCGAGCGCGAGCGTCTACTAGTCGTGCCACTGCCATGGTCCAGAGCGAGAGCTGTGAGAGGGCTGTCACGAGTTGGGTGGAGGTGGCGGGCGCCAGGGAGGGGGCGGTACGATTGAGTGGGTACACGTTGAGGAAGTTCGCCGAAGAATTGGCGGGTTCCGTTTGGAACTACCTGACGATCATGCATTCCTTGTGCTGCATGCCGCGGGATATTGGGAGTACTCGAACGCTCCTCATTACGGTGAGGCATCCCCATGGCTGTAAACGGTGGTTGCGCATAGTCGCGGGGCTGATTGGATCTATCGTGAGGAACCGTCGTCTGCGGCAAGCTACGTCGAGATGTGTTCATAGCAGTCTCGACCTGCGTTGACCGAGGGTTATGCAAACGCTCAAATGCTGCCCTCTGCGCCTGCACTCTGCCGTGATGCGCAATCAGATCCCGACTTGTTGACGGCGAGGCGGGGTCGTTTTCACCGGACCGGTGATCAACTCTTCCACCTCTGCCACCAAATTGCGAGCTCTGCATCGTGGCAGTACGTTCGGACGGGTACTGCAGAGGTCGCAGTGATTGTTGCTGAGGCTGATGGGGGAAGGGCATCCTGACACCATTTGGAATTTGAGGTGGGGGGCGTGGCTGGCTACCCTGCCCATGGCTCGAACGACGGGTTTGGAAACTTTCTGTACGGGACTGAGGAGGAAAGCGCTGATTTAGCATAGCCTGCTGGCGGAAAGCATGCTGTTGAAGAGCTTCTTCTCGAGCAGCTTGAGCTCGTAGCTGTTGCTGATAGTGCTGCGCATAGGGATCAAGAGGCGACTCGAGATCTTGTACCACCGCTGTAGTGGCGTCAATATAGCCACCTGTGTAGCTGCGGGGCACCGGGTGACCAGCTTCGGTGCGATTATAAGGCATTGAAGGGAGCGGCGAGAGCCCGTGGGGACCAGAGCCAGCCCTGCTTGACGAGGAATAAGCCGAGCTACCTGAAATTGCACGCAGTTGGGCAGCGAAGGGGTTATCAGGTGAGTAGTGGCATTGGCTTTCGTTCGAGGCGGCCGCTCCATCAAGCTGAACGCGGGATAAGTCACGTCCCAACGATGCCTCGCTGCTGGGGAACCTCGTACTAGAGGCAAGCGAGCCGTAGTAAGAGAATTGCGCACTGGCAGCTGAAGCGTCGCTACTAAAGTGCCTTGACCTTGGGCCTGCTTGTTCTGGCTGGAGCGAGCCACCGGAAGTATGGAAAATATCCGATGCAGTAGAATGGTAGTCTTCCCCATGAGTTACGGTGGAAGACCTAGCAAATTGTCTGGTTGGAGGCTCGACCGCTGGCAATGTACGGAAGACGTCTTCAAAGAATTGGTCCGGGGGGGTCTGAGCTTGACTTGCAACACGGGATCTCATGGCGGCCCCTGTAGAGGAGCTTCGCGCGGCGGAAGGCTGACGATCGCTACCTCGCCGTGGTTCACTGTGCGGTGCAATGCTCCAAAAACGATACTTATCGCTTTCCCGGAAATGATACGTGGTACTATTCGGGGTATCATGGACGTAGCCCTCGAGATAGAGTGTAGGATTGTGTAGGCGCGGGCTGACCGGCGACTTGGTAGGGTCCCCGGATGGCTGTTGGTATGCGGGCGAACTTAGTCTCTGCATCTGGTGTAGGGGTGACGGAGCATGAGGCGTATCTTGAGCCATATCGCGTATCCGATCTCCGCCGCCTCGCAATCCAGAAGTACTTTCGGTAGACCCACCAGATGGAGATAACGTGGAGTTGTTGCTTGTATCACCTATGCTGCTTGTGCCAGTTGAGCCCATTCTGGCATGTCCGATTGGTGCTCTTGTTGGCGTACGAGATACTGCCACGACTGCATCCGGCGGAGATTGAGTAGTGGAAGTTCGACGGCTTCGTCCGAATCGGAATGGAAGATGCATTGTGCGTCGGGGTGGAGAGACCGGAGAGGGCAGTGACCATGTTGGCGACGCTGGAGACTGCGGCGGCTCGGTTTCTCTCTCGTGACTGGACGAAGTAGTCCCTTCGGTATCGTCACGATCTGTTGATAGCGTTGCTTCCTGACTGGACGTATGCTCTGTCTCCTCTTCCTCTTCCACAGAAGAGAATGTTGCTTGTTGGGGCTGCAGTATGGGAATGGACCCCAGGGCAGTGATGGCATCTCGAGTCGATCTCTGAGCGCCACGTCTGAGTATGGGCCGTCCGGGTTGTCCTGTAGGGCGAGAAGTCAGGTTTGTGGTCGCTCTGGAGGTTTGCCTGATGGCTATGCGACGAAAGGTCTCCTCGACATCGTCGGGCGTCAGGGTGAGTTCTGATGGTCTGAGACGTAACATGTTTACCAACTGGGAAGCGAACGACGGGGGTGAAGCTGAAGGGATATGGGTCCAAAAGAGGGTGTGCAGATGAGGTGCCTGTACCGGCGAGTATACAAAGAAGCCTACCTACCTGGAGCCATGGTGATTTCCGATTCTAACTCTTGCTCTCTTGCTGTTATCTAGGAAGCGCCGTTGCAGTAGCAGTGGTGATGACGGCGCGCATAGCAGCGCCTTCCCGTCCGACATGATGGACGTCAATGCACCTTACGCGTTGACTGCCGTGAAGATGCATCGCTACCAGACTTGTACTGGTGAGATACTGGTGATGTAAGTGCCCAGGTGAGCCACGAGGTGAACGTCATGTGGTGCATGAGATGTTAGAGTGAGGTATTACTGCGTGCGTTACTACGCGTGTTCAATATTTCTGCAGAAGGCGCGTTTCTCGTGATGTCGTGGTAGTGGTGTAGTGTATCGCCGACTCGAGTGTCCGTGTCGGTGGGTCGGCGTTCGTCAGCGAGTCGCCGAGCATGGCATCACCAACGGTGGCAGCGGAGCATCACGACGGGCGCCCTGTATCGCATCCTCACCGCGAGGCCTTCGTCGTTATCTGCCCACTGCCCTGGCCGCTGGGCCCCTGCCATGCCTCCGCTGCACGCTCGTATTCCGCACGCTAAAAGAGGCTACTTTGACGCGCCGCGGGTGGTGCCTGAGCTACTGCTGCGACCTCACTCGCTCTTCTCGTTTACCGCCGTTGCCAGACAAGGCGCTGCCCCGTGGCCGCCACGATGAATGGCGACCTGAGTCTGTCGCAGACGCTCGGCGGACTGCGCATCGCCAACCCGGACGAGGACGACTCGCCGCCGCCCACGCAGCACCACGACGCGCCCGACCACGACCATGCCGTCGCCCAACAGCCGCAGCCAGACCCCACGTACGCCCACTCGTACATAGAAGAGGAGCCCGCCAACTCGTCGCTCCAGCCCGCCGCCAATGCCTACCAGAGCTCGCCCTCGGGCTCCCCGGCCGCCTTCCCCTCGCCCCTGGCCGAGACGTCGTCGACGCACTCGCACTCGCCGCGCCTCTCCCACCGCCAGTCGATGCCCCTGCAGCACCAGGCCCAGCACCAGCAGCCCGCGTATCCCCCGTATGCCGCCGGCCCACTGCTCCAGCAGCAGCGCAGCGCCGCCCCGACGTCGCAGCCCATGCGAGAGCGCCCCGTCTCCACCAGCATGTACCAGCACCCCAACCTCTCCACCTCGTCCACCACCGCCCCGGGCACCTACCGATACAACGACGACGCAATGGCTGGCGATATCCGGCGGACGGCGAGCTCGCGGGTTGCGCCCGGCGCCATGCCCGTCAGAGAAGCCAGCAGGAGAGACCCGTACCGCCAGTCAGCCCAGATGTCCGCCATGAACGGCCCCATGCCGCCCCGGAGAAGCTCGCGGCGGATACCCATGGATGCCGGCGTCTCACAATTATCCAGTTCACCCTACAGCGTAGAAGGCGGGCCGCTATCGAGCAGCGAGGAGTGGAAGGAGAAGGGCGCGGCTGTAAGCACCCGCCAGGACCTCGACCAGAACGGACGGCCGATAACGCGTGTCGTGAAGAAGGGCGTCAAGGACTTCAACTTTGGCAGGACACTGGGCGAGGGCTCCTACAGCACAGTACTGGCTGCCACGGACCGCCAGACATTGCGCGAGTACGCGATCAAGGTGCTCGACAAGCGCCACATCATCAAGGAGAAGAAGGTCAAATACGTGAACATCGAAAAAGACACCCTCAACCGACTGACGGAGCATCCCGGCATAGTCCGACTCTACTACACCTTCCAGGACGAGCGATCGCTATACTTTGTGCTGGATCTGGCAGCGGGCGGAGAGCTGCTGGGCTTTCTCAAGAAGATGGGCACATTCGACGTCGAGTGCACACGCTTCTACGGCGCGCAAATACTGGACTCCATCGACTACATGCACAACAAGGGCGTCATACATCGCGACTTGAAACCGGAGAACGTCCTGCTCGACGATGCGATGCACGTCAAGATTACTGATTTTGGAACAGCAAAGATACTCGAGCAAAAACACAACGGCGTTAGCTCAACAACCGGCGATCCGCTGGAAAGCGTGCAGATGGATCGCGCGCAGTCCTTCGTCGGAACAGCCGAATACGTCTCGCCCGAACTCCTCACAGACAAGAATGCATGCAAAGCCAGCGACCTGTGGGCTTTCGGATGCATCATCTACCAATTACTCGCCGGTCGACCACCGTTCAAGGCCGCGAACGAATACATGACCTTCCAGAAGATTGTTGGTCTAGAATACACATTTCCAGATGGCTTCCCTCCGCTGGCAAAGGACCTGGTGGAGCGCCTGTTGGTGCTGGATCCGTTGACGCGGTTACCCATGGAGCACATCAAGAACCACCCCTTCTTTGAAGGCATACAATGGGGCAAGGGCCTGTGGAAGCAGAAGGCTCCGCGGTTGAAGGCCTACAGTCCGCCCGCACAGGAGCCCATCAAACTGAATGGTAGGAACCCTTCTACGCCTCAGGAAACGCCAATAACACGTCCAGGCCCATCAACGCCATCAGTAGCGGCATCCACCCAAACCCAGGCACGACCGAAGCCGCGCCTCATCACCGAACTACCCCCTCCCTCCCAACTAGACATCGACTGGTCACCGGTCCTCACGAAGCGAGACGAGCGGATATTGAAGCTGGGAAACATGTTTGTGACGCAACACCCAGCGGGCCATGTTGTAGGAGGAAAAGAAGAGCCTGTGGAGCAGCCCAAGAAGTTCTCGCGCTTCTTCGGCGGCAATACGGTCAAGAAGCGCCAACGGCTCGTCATGATAACGTCGAATGCACGCGTACTGATGTGCGCAGCAGGCACGAATGACAAGAAGCTGAAGGAAGAGGTATCCCTGCTCTCCGCAGGCTGCGCATGGAGATCATTCCAAGACTCCAAAGGCCTCACTGCTTGGCTCGTAGAAACAGTACGCCACCCCCACTCCCAACCCAACCCAACCACCACTAACACCCCTCCCAGAAAGAGAAGCAATACGTCTTCGAAGACCCCAAGAGTACGACAAGCGACCCCGACGGCAGCAAGTACTCAAGCCAAGAATGGCTCGACAGCATCGAACAAGCACGCGACTACGCGTTCGCGCAAACCATGACCAACTCGTACTCAGCCGACGTAGGTCTGAACGAGCTCGTTTCAAACCACACCACCCCGACCAGTACGTTGGGAGGAGACTCCGCCCTCGAGGGCGTCAACATACCCGCCTCGCGGCATGGGGGCGGCGGCCACCTTCGCAAAGATAACGCCGAGACTGACTCGATCAAGGGCAGGAAGCGCTTTAGCAAACGTCATTCCAAGAATGGTTTGGCAAACTTTTGAGAGAGAAGTAAAAGTGTCACATTAGTAACGTATCGGTACGGTTTACTATGGGTACTACTCTCGAGAAATGCCAATACCCGCGATATCACTTGTCGTACTATCATCCCGCTCGACTGCTTTTACCGAGAAGATCAAGTGCTGCTTATCCCTCCAGCGTACGGCGTTCCAGGCGTCTCTTGCTTTCCTTGTGTTCAAACTACCCAGTCCCCATACCAGACTCACATCTCCTTTGTTCAACTTGAAAATCATAAGGTACGGCATCCCGCAGAAGATCTATCACAAGCAATATCCGTTGGCTCAGTCTATATTGGCATTTGGGGGGCCGAGGCTTGGGCCTTTTCTACATTACAGAAATAGCAAGATTGGTGGCATGTTATCCGCTATACACCCCGATGGTTCTTTTTACTAGTCTTCTTCTTTTCAGTGTATAGGGTTCTGGCTCAGACGCGTTAGATTGGGCATAGTTGTTTGTCGGCGTCGCAACTTTCTCGTGTGTCTGTATTTATTGATCGTTTGAGGGAAGAGGAGGGAAGAAGGAGAGTAGGGGGGGGGGAAAGCTGTGGAAGCGGAGGAGAACGGAGAACTACATTGGGCCATTTACTTTGGCGTGGAAAGGGGTTATACAAAGTGGCTTTTTAATGCATGAGTTGCTGGTTTTGTTGACCAGTTGTTCTTTGCACACCTGTCTTATGTCAGTTTGGGTTGTGAAGGTGATGCGTGAATTCGCAAGTACAATATGCTGGTTGTGAAAGTATTCATCTCAATATATACGTTTCGATGCTAACCCTTCCTTCCTCCAGATAAAATACACGTCGTAAATATAAACGCAGAAAAGAATTTTGCATGCCGCGCACATCATCATCAACCAGCCAACCGGCGGCGTGTCTCAGTAAAGAAAGGAAAATCGCTAAAACAGATGCAAATGCAACCCATCCCTCCCCTCCTCCCTCCCCCTTCCCTCGCTCCATCCCTTTCCCCATCCTATCTACCACCCATCCCCAAAAATCTCCTTCGGACTCTGCACAAGCTCCTCCTCCACCCGTGGCTTCCTACTCCCAAACTTCCTCCCCTCCTTCTTCTCCATCTTCCTTTCTTTCCTTGTCGTCAAATGCGGGGTTACGGGGGTGATGGGTGTAAACGGCATGTACGGGCTGTATGGCGTAAAGGGCACACCTGTTTTCGGGGTGCCGAGAGCGAGGGCCTCGACGCGGCGGTCTAGGACTGTGGTTTGGATGCCGGGGCTTGCGAGCGGGGAGGCGAAACTGCGGAGGGGGAGGGAGGTGGCTTGGGAGGTGAGGGGTTTGGGGGGGTGTTGGCGGGTGGTGGAGGGGGGTTGGGATAACGGTGTTGATGTTGGTGGTGGACCGAGACCGAGGCGTTGCGGTGCGGGACGGGGGAGCGGTTGTACGCTGTCCAGTGCTTCTTCTGTGTATTGTTCCGGCGAGGTTGGCGAGTTCGTCTGCGTAGGCGGCGAAGGGGGGACACCGGGATTGGCGTAGAAGCGCGGGGAGAGCGGTGTCCGCGCTTCGTCGTCGGAGTCTGCGCCTGGGTACTTTGCAATCGGGCCTGAGATGCGCAGGTTCTTGAGGTTGAAGCGCGCGTTTTTGCTGCCGGTGGAGTTGGTGTTGGAGTTTTGGGAACGCTTGGAGAGGATGCTGCGGGGGCTTGGGGGTAGGTGGGCGTCGGCGCGGAGGTGGGTGCTTTGGGTGGGGGGAGCGGGTTGCTGGACACTGTAGTTTGGTGGGTAGATGGCTTTTACGGGCGAGATTGGGGTTTCGCTGCTGTGGGATTCTGGGCGCGCGATGCTGATGTTTGAGGGGCGTCGTCGCTCCGTGGGTCGGGGGATGGGCTCCGTTTCTTCTACACTGACTTTGGAGGAGTGCTTGCGCTCGTCGAAGTCCATGACGGCGGCGTAGAGACGCTCCATGTCTGCTTGATCTTGACCCCGGTGGGCATCAAGAACCTTCTGGTCGAACGAGCTTGGTGACTGAACAACAGGGCTCTGTGGATTGCTAACAGCAGAGTCATTCCTGTTTCTCTTGAACTTCCCGAAAAACGACCGCGCGGATAGCGGTGGCGATGTGAGTCCAGCTGTGCGAAGAGCCGGTAGAGTCGGTTTATCCTGGAGTTCCAGCTCCAATTGCTTGGGCGGGTCGAGAGCCTTCCGTCTCATCTTTCTACCAACAGTGAGGAGAAGAACCCCCCAGATAAGTACTGTAAAGACGTAACCGCCAACAACACCGCAAATCTCGTACGGCAGCACGTTCTTGTCTCGGACAGCCTGGTATGAAGCAGGAGGCCCCTCGTCAGCCGCCGGCGTGGGGTCGCGATAGTTATCGAGAAAGTCGTAAGGCGCAGCAGAAACACGCGTTGCAACAAGAAGCAGTGAGATGAGTGCCGGAGGAAGCGCTCCGACGAGCATCGTAAGCCGCGCCCTCAGGTCGAGGGGGGACTGGAAATATATAACAGAGAAAAGAGGAATAATGTGACAATCAGATGTGGGCGGTCTAACTTTCGAGCTTGCTTGCTGCTTCGTCCAGGTCGTCCAGGGTGCAATGTCGATCTAGGGCCGCAATTGCACATGAATGAGTGCCCGCTATCCCGACTGAGAGGAACCGGGTGAAATGCAGAGTGTAACAGCAGGCGACATGGTGATATGAAGAGGGATGGGCAGCGGGTAAGTACTTTGATCGGCGGTCTGCAAGTGGTCGGATGCAAGGAAAGAGCGACTGGGTGTGATGGCTTGGGAAGGTGCATGCGCCGTCTGATTGGCCGGCCTAGTTCTTGAGCTACATTGGGGCGTCCAGTGGATGCTGTCTCTCAGCCGCTGAGGCGGGGTCGCTTCGTTAAAGCTAGAGCGAGATGGGATGTGCCGATGATAAATCTCGACATTCGAGGCTTCAGCTATAAGCATCGAGTCTATGCGGTGATATGCGCTACTGTTGTGCAGTGGAGTTGTCGTCGTTGTGGTGAAGAAAACCTCTAGAAACATGTTTACCCGTGCCGCAACGCTCGAGCGCACAGTACTCGAGACTACCAACACCAACCTCCCGGACATGCGCGATCGCCTGCCAGCTCGGGGCACAGTCAACGGGAGACGGTCCGCATGCATGAAAGGCGTCCCCTGCAAGACCAAGAAATGCGCACCCGTTCTGCGTTTCCCATTGGCGATGGAGAACTACCTAGGGCTATTCTAATGCCACGTCCCCACTTATGTCTTGAAGCTTTCTATTGGCTACAACCCATAGGAAAGCAAGCTCTCTACTGAAGTGCTATGCGCAAGAATCAACACAGAGTACTTAATACTGGGGTACAATTAATGCAGCAGAGGTTAGACCTCCTTTGACCTCCACCATCCTCCCTCCGTCTCCCCCACCCACTCACGACGGTCAGCATGCATGGAAGGCAGCCCCTGCACGCCAGAAAATGCGCACTCGATCCGCTATTCCCATTGGCCACGGAAAACTATTCTAAGCGCCCGACTATACCTACATATGCGAATCAGCGCACAGTCACCCTATCACACTAGTAATCACTCGCCATCACGGAGCCACTATATTGGCGACATCCAGGATCAGATATCTCCCTCGCAGTCCGACTCGTCACCTGAAGTGAATAATTCTACGCGGCCTCGTGGCTTAATGCCCGTGATGGGCGAATGCAACGAAAGTCACAGACTAGGCTTGCAGCAAGGACCGATTAAAACGCCCGCATCACCCCCCGATGCTGTGACAGCCGTTCGCATTGGCCGTACTCCTCTTTCGTTCACGATTCATGCAACACTTTCGGCACTTTGGTATGCCTTGCTATGCTTACGAACAGACGCTGGTGGAGAGATAACGTGGCTTTATTATAGCCTCGACTGACTGCGAGTCGTCGTCACTATCACTACCTAAGGAAGCATCGTACCGATGCCGGATTAGCGAATGGCTAACAAAAACATCTGCCCAGGAGAGGCAATGGGAGCTTACCCTGTGCCTGCCAGGACCGAGCACCGAGGTGGTGTGAAATACGCAGTTTGAAGCGGGAGGCATCACTTGCCCTCTGCCTTGGCTATGAGCTTTGCGTCCAGACCGGTAGGCTCCCAGAGACTCTTGTCTTTCTTGTTTTGCACCCAGAGGATGTCGCCTTTGAGATACGCCACTGCGCCTCCGCGTCCCGTCGCGCTTGCTGTGACACGGAACAGGGGTAGACCGGTCTGGTCGTGGGCTTCGCGGAGAGGAAGGAGAAGGAGGTTCTCTTCGGCGCAGAACTCCTCTACAATATCCTTGAAAGTCGGCTCGTCGACTTGCGGTGTAGGACGGGATGCTTGTTGGTTGACCGATTTGGAGAACTGAGACACCTCTGGAGAGGCTCCCGTGCTTTCCACGTGGGGCGCGGGCAGATCTGTCAGTCTCGCATCTCCAAGATCCAATGCCGTGTTGATGAGTGAGTATGCCTCGTTCCATGACGAGGCGACTGAAGGCAGATTGTTGATGTCGTCCTGCAAGATTTCAGTCCTCCACCAGGTAAGCCACGTCTGGACTTCCTCAAAGACCACCTCCGGGCTCGTGAGCCATTGGTGGATAATTTCCAGGAACTTGGGGAAGAACTGTGCTTTCAGAAGCTCTCCAATAACCTCATTCGATATCAGTCCCTTCCAGGCGAACACAGCCTCAAGTGGCGCGAGATCTTGTTCAGCGGGGTTGATCTCAAAGCTGTCTCGTAGGAAGGCCGACAAACGAGGTACCAGATGGGAGGTGAGTAGATGATCAAACTCTGCCTTTCCAAAGACCC